CATGCAACGGGAACGGTGTGTGCGTACGCGTGGAGACGGATGGAGACGCGCGCGCGCGCTCGGAAGGCGATGAGCACGTGGATCAGAGCACGTGGGTGACCAGGTTGGAACGGTCATATTGACCGAAGAGACAACTTGGGACTCGCGTCAGCGGACAGAGAAATGATGGGCCGGCGGCCGAGGGGGCCGAGGGGGCCAAGCGGCACCTGCAGGGAGGGAACGCGGCCGAGAGGACGTCCACCACTGCCGACGTGGAGCGGCGAGATCGGGAAGCGTGCCGAGAGCCAGGACGGACCGCTGCGTCGTAAAACCTGAGCGAGGTGGCGACGGCTCGAGGCCATAGTGCAGCAGTGGATAGGCCGCATGTGATTGCGATGACAGCGGTGTGTTAACCCACGTGCGGCGAAACGTAACGTACGTACACGTGTCGCGTGATTTCGGTGTCGGGTCACTTGTTAAAGCGATCAAACACGACTGGACTCCCAGCGCTAAGTTACATTTCCAAAAGTTGGGGCCGATTTTCAGCATTGCGATACAAGCAATGCACAGCCCCAGCGCTGTTACGCATCTTGCCGGCCTGCTGAGCAGTGAATGTCAAATTTGCAAATGGCGAGAAAAAAAAAACAGAACCCACCGCAAGAGAATAACAGCGCAGGCTGGAAAACCGTAGGGTTCAACCGAGACACAAACACGTGTACAGAGCACACCAGCGCGTGTGTGCTATGCAAAAACCATCAGCATTTGCTGGAGCACTGCATTGCAGTCCTCTAGTCTCATTGTCAACATCAAAACAAATTTGAGCAGCGCCTCCGATTTGCACGCTTGGCTACGTACGGTGCGCGAGAAGTTCAACATACATACAGTGATATACAAATGTGGACCGGTGTCGTATACCGTGCTGATGAGTCCTAATCAGGAGGAAGCCGATCCACAGTTGTCTCTCACTACATCACTGCCGCCTGTCGGTCGGTCACATTTTTGTCAAGCAAATTTTTAAGGCCATCTACAAAAGACAAGAGAGAACCACAATGCACTTGTTCGGGAACTGCTGATCCGTTTTTTGTTGTGTGCTTTGGGAGGACGTGTGTGCTCGTGTGCTGCTTGGAACTTGTGCGCAATTTTTTTTTTCAACGTGCGCGACTGAATGTACGACTGTCGAATGCCGTAAATGTGCCAAGAGGGTTCGTTCGGAGGGAGGGAGTCGGGTGTCTCCCTCGCGACGAAGACCTCCCTTTGCGCAAAGCGCCTAAACCTCCACGTGCATCCGCTCGTCCCGAGCCTTGGCCCAAAAAGAAAGGCGGGCGGGCCTGGCGGACGCGACTTCAGTCTGATGACTTACAACTTTCGTGACTGGCAGGAATTCATATTCTGTGGTTCTTCCGGTAAAGTCACGCGATAGAAACGTCGTGATATCTCTGATCAACTTTTTTGTTCTATCTATCTACGTGACTTTATACCGAAAGAAAAATAGAACATTCATTCTGATGCGCAATTCCCCACGATCGCGCTAAGAGTTGGGCACATTGCGCCGAGGGCAATTGCGAGCGAAACTACATTGCGGGTGCGTGGCGTCCTAGGGACGCCGGTGGCGTTGCAACTCGTTCAGTAAAAACCGTCGCGAGCGCTCGCCACCCCCGCGCGCCGCGACTCAACGCTTGCCGACAAAGTAACGCGAATTAATACTTCGTGAAGAAGGGCAATGGGACTCTCTCGCTGCTCATTGCGAAAAGTGGCTTTCCGATGCAGCGCTCCAGCGCGACTTTATAGAGCCTGCGTTTTCAAGAAGAAACCAAAAACCCACATCTGCCAAGGATATCTGACGGAATGCTGCTGGGAATATTTTGAGGACCAGTCCCGAGGTTGATTTGTCTCGCTCTGAAGGTGTTTTACCTTTAGAGGTGAATAGTTCAATACGTTTGGCAACTGTGGCAGGCGAAGCGTGGGAGTTAATGGAGTGTGAATGAAGGAGCAGCCGAGCGAAATTAGGTCCGGACATTTCACCGATTCGTGTTCAGGCTTACGACTTGCTGACCCACCCTGAATAATGACCACCGAGACGAAACAGCGGAGCGCAGACGTCTCGGCGAAGGAAACGCGAGTGCCCGTTCGAGACGTCGGAGTGGTTTTGTCCAAGCAAGACGTCGCGCGTGTGCGTGCGTGTGCGTGCGTGCGCGTGTGCGTGCGTGCGATGCAAATCTGTCCCGGATACGACTTCGCGGCACTGGCTGCATTCGAAAGCCCTCGGAGCGTTCGGTGGCACGCGCTTTGGCTGCATTTGCAGCGAGCAGAGCGCTTCCACGTTGCGTTGCAGCGGGCGCGCGGACGCGCAGCGCGTTTGCCACGACCGGGCAAGACGATCGCGCCCCGAGGGCAGCTGCTTGGAATGCCGATTCAGCGACCTCTTGAGAATCCGGGCGCCTTGCTCAGGGCTGAGACATTTCATCACGTGGCCAAACGTATTTTGTTTCAAGATACTTCTACGTATTAATATTATTACTACACTTGCATACCCATGAAAGCCTCATTATTTTTTTTCAGGAGGGTCCTGTCTACTTTCTGCCCCGCCCCCTCTCTCCCCCCACCTCTTCTCTCCCCCCCCCTACTGCCGAGGCCTACTCTATAACCTCGTGCCACGGCAGATCTCTCGCCTACTTCTGCAGTTTCCTCTTGCTGTGGTTGTCCCACCTGATGACGATTGCTTGTGTTGCGATCGAAACGTCGTGATCTATTATTTTTCTACCTACGTGACTTTACCGAAAGAACCAAAGAAGTATGGGTCCTGATAAGGTTTTACAGTGGGTAGGAGGGGGGGGGGGCGATGATTGTTGTGTAATTCCGATGCGAGTAATTTGCGGGCATATTTGGAGCGTGACGCCAACACACAACGGCCTGCTCTTCTCGAACGACGTCACGGGATCCGTAACGTCCACTGAGAAGTGGGCGGCCTCTTGTGATTATGGTCCATACGCGCCGCATTCAAACTGTACAAAAACCTCTGCAACGCGCGGCGAAAGAGCTACCGTCAGGCCGCGTCGCTCAATCACAAATGACGTTTTTTTATTAAAGTCAACTTGCAGGACACAAATTTGAAACGACGTGAATGATAAAATGCATCTGGAGTACAAACTTCCAGATGAAAATGGGGCCATGAAGCTGCTTTCCTGATGTTCTGACACATTGGGAGAATTAATAAAAAATATATATTTGCCTTTTGTGTGAAAGCTTTGCGTGTTCCACCCCTTCCAATGTTCCCATCTCTCTCTTCAAACGATTAAAAACCACTGTGACAGGATTGCTCTTGAAAAACTTCAGTCCGCTAGTGCTGAAGCGTTAAAAGCATGCTCCGTAATCACGGCCGGGATGACACGTGCTGATGGCTGGTACAATTATTTTTGCAGAATAGCCCAGTGGTAAACAAAAGGTTGAAAAATCGGTGGTGGGGGAGGGACAGAAAAAAATGCTCAAATTGTTGACACTTTGAGAACTAATTACAGCGTGAAAACCGTCTAAAAATGCTCCATTTTGTTGATTTTATATATATATAATTCGTGAAACAAAATTCAACGCCCACCTGCGCGCGAGAACGCGGTCTCATTGCCTCCATCGGAAGCCGGAGCCACGGATCGGCTGTAGTAATTCTTGGCACAATCGACGACTCGCAACGTCATCGCGGAGGCAGCTGAAACGCGACGATCGCAGAAAGCTGTGACAGGCGCACGAGCGACGGGATCGCCAGTGGCTGAACGGCACACAACCGTGACGGGCAGCCGATCGACGAATACATCCGAGTTTCGTTCGGCTGCCAGACTCCGTGACCGATGGACCGCGATCAAAGTTGGTGCAGTCGGAACGGTCGGAGCGCGGGGCATTGAGGGCGCCGTAGACAGTGTGCGGCACGCAGACCGGCAGGTCCGCAGGCTAATTGAGTGGCACGGCTTTACGAATCCACGCTCTTGATTCTATCGTCAAGGAACGCCACGAGAACGTGGACAGGGAATGGAAAGAGACGAGAGAGCGTGGAGAAATATGCGCGCCACGATGCGCGCAGTGTGAGAGAGGCAAGAATCTTACTCGGAGCCGAGTTTAAACTTTTAACTATTTTTTATTTCACCGGGCGAGGCCCACTGAGCTACACAGCTCTTTTTCAGAAGTGACCTGGCCACAAATGATAGCTCAACGAAGTGGCTTTTTCACGTGGAAATATATAGCAGCCAAATACTCTAAACGCGCGTTTCTAAATGCGGAGGGAAAAAAACTGGACGACCCGGCGAAAAAACCCACGTGAGCAGACTCCAAACATACATACGTCAGGATCGGGACCGAACCCATACCGTCCCCTCCTGTATACCAGGCGAGGTAGTCGACGTCACGCCACCAGGGAGCCCTCACAACAACCCCGACCAAACATTCTCAAATGACGCCTGGCGTGAAGACGACACTTTTCTGTCTCCCGTGTGATCGCGCTTAAACAAACGGTTAGCAACCAGACAGGGGGCTGCCAGTTGACGCGAGCTCACCAGGTTTTTTTGTCTTCGACCTCGGAGGTTGATTTCGTCATCTGAGCCGGGGCGGCCACAGACAATCACGCGCAAGCGAACCCTCCCCCTCCCCCCCCCCACCCCCCCCCCCCCCCCCCCTCGGGAGTCCGGCTCGAGCACCGGGATGTTCGTCATTCGTGGGTTTAATATAAAGCGACAGCTACTCCACGACGGGGGCAGCCCAAGTTGGCTCTCTTTGAGGACACGTCGCTGCAATTTAACCCTTTCCCAGACGTCGGCAAGTTGCAGGGTGGGTGGCGCCGTTCACCGCTGAATCTCGTGACGCGCGCGAGCAGTTAGCGTACATTTTATACAGAGGGGTGTAGTGCCGTGGTTTTTAAAGACATTGTACTCAACGCAGAGAACTTTCGTGATGTGATAGCTGGTGCCAAACTGTGACACGCGCCCTTCCCCGCATGGCCTTGTGGGAGCCTCGGTCCCGATAGTGTTATTTTATTTTTATTCCGGTTCCGTTCCGATGGTATACACGTAGGTAGACGTACGTACACGTGTGTCACCGGAATGGAATCGGGAGAAAAAAAAAAACTGATGACGTACACCATCGGAATGGAAAAAGGTTAAGGAGAGCTCCTCGTCTTGGTGAGAGCGACACGCAAAAAGTGAGAGTGTGCTCGTGAGGATGAGAATGAAGCATTAAAACACGGGGACCCACATCCGTGTAAAGATAAAATACCTCTTGAGGTGGTGCCGCAATGATTAAAATGTGACTCACAATAAACACCTACACAAACGAGTACGATTCGACGGTTTGATTTTCTCAGCGGTGAAAGGTCAACAACAACAACAACGACTACGGGGGCAAGACGAACTCACACTTTCTTCTAAGAGCTATGTACAAATAAAATGGGCGGACAGACGTTGGAAGGTCAATTACTGTCTCTCGCCCTCGCGAGACCCGACGAAGAAAGATCGGAAGGGATCACGATTAACACGCATTAAAAAAAAAAAATTAACATGCGACAGTTAAAACTCTGTAAACACAACTTTGCAATGTACACCCGCGTCGACGCAATGCGCCCAACCAGTTCATCGTCCCGCACCAGTCTGCTTCCCCCCCCCCCCCCCCCCCCCGACTTTTGCGAACGGCGGACGCGACACTTCATTTGGACGTAACGAAAAAGTATTAACGACGACGCTCGGCGTGCGCGTGGAACTGAATTAGGGACGTTAAGGATTGCAGCGTCGGCGTTCCGACGCCAAACTCCCGACACGCATCAAGACATTGAGATCTCAATTTTCCACGGTAGGCAAATTTCCGCGGCAGAATCGCACGTTTCCATTTGACATCGGACAGATTGAGCTTGCACCTCTCAACCCCGCCGGCAACTGGAAATTAAGCTCCACCAAATCCCCTTCCCGCCGTAAATTACATTTTCGGGATCATTAATTTCTCGTCGAAAGTCTCCCCCCGCCCCTACACCCCCCCACTTGGCTCCCGAGATGGCTTCTTTGTGACGATGGCTGCGCGGCGTTTGCACGTGCACGGAGGATGAAGAGGGCGGCGAAGGCGGGAGGCCGGGGTCGTCGTCGCGCCTCACGACATGGCCGGCGGCTTCCTCGCGGCCGCCGCACTTCTCTCCGTCAAGAAGTCGTAGTCGTACTGTCGGCGTGGGCAGGACGGGAAAAGGCGGCGTTTACCCTTGGCCCCGGGGGGCAGGGGAACATTCTCCTCGCCGAGGGGGGTCGAGGCAGGACTCGCGAACACGAAACAAAACGAGTTTTTATTTGACCAGGCCCACTGAGCTATAGGGGCTTCTTTTTTCAGAAGCGACCTGGCCACCACAAACGGTAGCTCGACGAAGTGGCTCAAGACGTGTAAATGTATTGCAGCCAAATGCTCTAAACGCGTGATGTCGATTATTATTATTATTATTAATGCGGAGGGGAAAAACCGGAGGACCCGGAGGAACGTCCACACGACCACGGGGTAAGAACATGCAAACTCCAAAAAGAGCTCATAGCTAAGCAGGCTGTATCTGGTAAATACAAATTAATAATACATAAATACTTACGATTTGATTCGAAACGTCTAATTTCGCGAAATTTTTTGGGAATTCACCCTATGGACCTTGAGAAACGCTTGCCGCTTTACAGCACCCCTACCACACACGCGCGCCATCTCAGCCTGAAGATAGCGGCATCTAGACCACGGCGAGTCTACACCCATCTATGAAGTGTTATAATTCTTCGTGAGATCATTTTGCTTGTGAATTCGTGTTGTTAATTCGTTCCATTTTATTCCAAAATGTCCACGCGGTGCGTATTATTAATTGCTTGCGTTTGCCTACGGAGCCGACCGTTGGCAAGGCAACCTTGACAATGAGACGGTGAATCTCCAGGGTTTAACCCTGGTTAAATAAAGATTAACAATAACAATTATAGCACGGTTGGAAATTTCGTTGTAAATTGTGGAGTAGAGAGAGGGAGAGAGCTTGGAGAGAGCAGAGAGGCAGACGAGGACTAGGCGGGGAGGGGAGCGTGTTTGAGGAGGCAGTGGGAGCTAGGCCATGGCCATGAGGCATGGTTCACAACGGTTTTATGCTGGTTAAATAAACATTTACACGGTGAATATCGCTACCTAACCACGTCTGTTCACACAACGTAAAATAAATAATCGGGTTTCTTTTTTTTTTTACACAACCCATCGTCACACCGCCCTTGTGAAAGTAATTTGTCAGCGCCAGATAGTTTCAATAAGGTAAACTCGGTAGCGGTTTCGACATTCGGCCGTACCATCGGCAGAGTCATGCTCTGCTTCAACCAATCAATGCTGGTGGACCACCTGATGTTAATCAGCAAGGACCATTTCTGTAAAAAAAAAACGGGGCTTGGTTCGAAGCAAAACTGTGTGTGTATATATAAAATAACCACGCTAGTGTCGCTGAGCGAAATATTAAGGGAATCTTCCCTTCCCATTGAATTGGCGCCACGGTGGCTAGGAGATGTTAACTACCTCGCCTGGTATCGAGGAGGTCGTGGGTTCGATCCCGACCATGATGCCTGTAGTATATTTGAAGTTTGCGTGTTCTCTTTCCCAGTGGTCACGTGGATTTTTCTCCGGGTCCTCCGGTTCTTCCCTCCACATTTGGAATCGACGTCACCACGCGTTTCGAGTATTTGGCTGCTATAAACGTCCGCGTGATAAGCCACTTCGTGTGAAGCTATCATTTGCGATGGCCATGTGGCTTCTGAAAACGAGCTATACAGCTCAGTCGCCCTTACCTGGTTAAAATGAAAACCGTTAAACCCTTAGTAATAGAATAACATAGAGGCATGCTGGATAATAAACACAGCAGTGGATCTCGCACACAGCAGCGGGCGTCCACCAGGGGGCGCCAGGCAACTGCCGCTTGGCAGCACCAGCCGCGCTCAACCCTCAGCCTTGCGACGGAGGTGACGGCGGCGGCGGCGGTGGTAGTGGTGGTGATGATGATGATGATGCATCATCAAAGGCACGGGAGAGCAAAGCACCGCGCCGGCAATTACTGCGATCGTAAATTTCTGACACTTGAACACTCTCACTTTCATTGCCCTCAACAGGCCAATTCCTTTTCTATCACACCGAGATTATGGCGCGCTCGCAGACCGCCCGCCCGTGCCCCAGGTAGGTGCGTGGGTAGGCGCCTTTGTGTGTGTGTGTGTGAAGGCATGGTCTGACGTGTGTGTGTGTGCGTGTGCATTCACGTTTTTGTGTTTGTACATGTCAGTGTGTGCGCCAGTGAGTGCGTGGGTATGCATATACATGTGTGTGTGCATGTTAGCGGGGAGCGGTAGTGCGGTGGTTAGGGCGCTGCGCTACGAACCTGGCGACCCGGGTTAGATTCCCGCTAACGGCCAACACCGGTGACGGTAATCCGAACCGGACCTGGGCCTCCTCTAGGTCGACTCAGTCTCAAAATTATTATCCGGTGCGGCGTGTAAACATCGCTGCTAGGGAGACAAAGGCGGCCGGGCGTGGTGCTGGCCACCCACCTCCCTCGTGTGCTTCGGTGCCGGCCTTCAAAGGTGCTAATCACAAAACAGCACTTGCCCCAACAGTCTGCTAAGGCTACAAGGGGGGGGGGGTCTTTGTATGTCCGTGAACGCTCACCCACCTCGGATTCAATCTCTTTGAAGGACTTGAGCTGGATGTGTGGGATCTCGTACTGTCGGAGCTGTCGGCGCACACGGGGAGAGAGGTGGAGGGGGGGGGGCACAGGGTGGGGGTGGGGATGGGGGGGGGAACTTCAATTAACTGCACCGCTCTCAATCCTCGCCGTGTGCTTACTCCTCCACGCAGCGCCGCGGACGCAGGCGCCGCTGCTGCAACTGCTGGTGGTGGCGGTGAGATGTTAACTACCTCGCCTGGTGTACAGGAGGGTCGTGGGCTCCATCCCAACCCCGACGCCTGTATATTACGAGTTTGCGTGTCTCTCTCCCCGTGGTCGTGTGGATTTGTTCTCCAGGTCCTCCGGTTTTTCCTCTTCACATTTATAATCAACATCACGCATTCAGAGTATTTGGCTGCTTTAAATTTCCACGTGATAAGCCACTTCATTTGGATATCATTGGTAGCTCAGTGGCCCTTACCTGGTTATAAAAAATAAGTGTTAAGTTTAGTTCTAGAATGCCACACGCCCGTGACCCATTGCTAGTGGGGTCGGTGGATCACGCAGACATCACCCGTCTTTAACACGTAAGCTTTCAGGACCAATGTTATCCATAATACAGATTTTTTTTTGGGTTAGAAATGTCACTCAAGATTGTAAATGTTGTGGATTAGCTCTCCAACACACTGATGTGCTGTACTAGTAACGAATTGTCATGTTCTGTTTACGTGACAAACCTTACTAATTGGCTGTGTCGGGCGGTGGTGGTGGGTTTAACGACACATTAATATTTAGGCGATCTAACCCAAAACAACCTCTATTATGGGTCACTCATCTTCATATGCAGCAGCAGCAGCGCGAACCTCAACTCACAGGGCTTACGGACTGGGGAGGGGGCAGGGGGTAGCGTAAGGAGGCAATACAGCAAAGCAGGTTGTTAGCGCATTCGTGTGCATTTCTAAGCGTTATCTCCTGGAATAGGGTTGGCATTCTCCGGCCACCGTGGCTATCTGGCCCCCCACAACGCTGGAGCGGTCGGCGAAGGGTTCCCGGCTGGACGTCGTGAGGCTCGGCCCCGTCCGAAACAAACGTCCGTCTACTTCGCTGGGTAATCGGAGGCGGCGATTACGCTGCTGTGCGGCTCCCGGTGTGAATAAAGACTGCCGTTGTGCAGAGATAGGCGCGTGGAGCCGTGCGCGCATTTCCTCCGGCCGAGCCGTCGAAAGCGCGGGGGCGATGTTGCACCCGTGGCTACGTCAGAGACCAACTGCCGAGAAAATCCTGCGAAACGAACCGAAAATGTTATTCCTGCCGGACGACTATATGACAAAGCTGCAAGGAGACATGTGAACGTGAGTAAATAGGGGTGTGAGGGAGCGGTGGTGGTGGTGGTGGTGGTTGCGCAGCTATTTGCACTAAGAACCTATCCGAGAGTTGGATTCCCAGTCAAGGTTAACATCAATGGGTGAGCATCATTAGACCTCCTTTGCCAGTACCAAAATATAAGAAAGCCATCCCTTGGTGTGGACCAATCAGTTTCAAGGAAAATGCATATATTATCATAGTATGTTTTTTGTTTGCATTTTGACTGCAGGTATTGTGGTTAATGCAGACATGAATCCTTGTAAAAAAGGTTTAAGTTTTGTTGCCATTAAAAATGGGAAAATCCCTATTATTATTATCAATGTGTGAGTTCATATCCGTATCGGCCCCTGGGCTCTCCCAGTTGCCAAACTTTACGGATCACAGCGTGGTGAAGTATGGTCAAACACTCCCCCCCCCCCCACCCCCATAACTGACACGGTGGTACGGAAGGACCATCATGCACACAGTGGTTTGAAATGACAAACTTTGCATAGCTCTATTATTATTATAATCATCATCATATAAATAGCTTCACTGCCGCTAAAATTAATAAACATTTAAACTTAATTGAAAATGCTAAATTTAACGCCCTTCGCTCCAAACAATTAATGCTTTACCAACAACAACAACAACCCGCGTCAATTAAATCTTAAGTCGTAACAGCGCAGTGTTTCCATCGCACCGTTCACGGAAGAAGGTGCTCGCTTTTTTGAGAAAATCGATGTTTGATCCGATTCGAGTCTTTGTGCCTTTCGCTGCGTGTATGCGATGTTGAACTTCTTTCGCGCCATACGTAGCACGCGCGCCCGTGTGCGCGTAAAAACAGCACTTGCCCCAGCGGTCTGTGAAGGCTATACGGGGGGGGGGGGGGGGGGGGGGGGTGTGGGTTCTTTGTTGTTTTGTACGAAACAAATGAGCTCACCACCTGGAGAACTTTTTTTTTTCGCGGCGGGCAAAACCGCAAAGGGCCCTCACCACAACGGACGTCACGAGCGCGCACGCGACCGGGATTTAGTTTTGGAAGTAATGGAATATTAAATGACCCCTGCGAATTAAACAACGAAATCTCCCTCCCCCCCCCCCGCCACACAACCCACGCACAGTCAATGGGACTTGATGAACGTCAGCGATTTCAGTTGTGCAACGTAACTTGTCCGTACGCGTCCAAACTTTCGCGCTGTACAACATCCACGTTGCATATTATTTTTACCCTACCAGGTAAGGCCCACTGAGCTGTATAGCTACTTTGTTCAAAAGCGACCTGGCCACAAATGATAGCTAAAACGAATTGACTTATCGTGCAAGAAATGCACGTTTCTAAATGTGGAGGGAAAAACTGAAGGATCCGGATAAAAATCCACGCGACCACGGGGAGAACATGGAAACTCCAAATATACAGACATCAGGGTCGGAATCGAACGCACGACCTCCTGTATGCCAGGCGAAGTGGTTAACATCTCGCCACCGTGGCGCCCCACACTGAGATATTCGCGACCGTGCTGCGTAGCTCGCGCTTCCGGGATGCGCCGCGTCTCGCTCGGTACGTTTCACTCTGGTGTGCGGAGTGAAACGTCTGACATCGCATGTAAATATTTAGACAAAGATCCCCGGCGTAGCCTCTGACAGATGCTTGCGGCAAGTGCTGTCAGCGAGCACCGACGTAAACCCGGCAGACGAGGAGGCTGGATGGCCAGCGCCACGCCCCGGCCTCCTGTCTCCCCAGTGCTGATGTTTACACACCGCACCGGGCACTCATTGAAGGCCCAGTCGACCTAGGGGAGGCGCCAGGATCTGTTCAGGTATTCGCCAGTGTTTTTGATCACGAGCGGGCCATGCATACTTCACCACGCTGGTCAGTGCGGATTGGGGAATGCAGCGAGTCCAGAGGACCGGCTCGAAGTTGACACTCGCCACCGTCGTTAGCCATGGCCCGGGAATCAACACCCGGGGTCACTAACCTGACGGTGCGGTAATGGCTACCTACTACATACATTGCACACGCAAGTATAAATGCCACATTTCCACATGACACACACGTATATATACGCACCGCGTGTATAAAAACTGCAAAGCGATCTACAGTATTCATAACACGTTACAGACCAAGAACGCGTACGGGATTCCTCCGTGCACTCGCTGGAATGCGGAGGAGCCTTCACCGAGGGATAAAGCGATGGATATTTACATATTTATTTGGGAGACTCTGCATTATTCATTTCAATACGAAGCATGTAATCGTGCCATGCCCGAGTGAAGCCTTATTCAAAATCGTATGCATAATCATTTCGTGAAGGTAGGCCCCCCCCCTCGGAAAAAATATGAATACGCGTCCAGAGCGAATTCCTTTCATAATTTCATTTATTAACACGTCAATCTCTCCCCACCCCCCGCGTCCGGCCAGAGGGCCCGGGCCCCCCCACCCCCATCTCACTTCCGCAGAGGGTCCCGGCGCCGCATGGCGGCCGAAGGGACGCTCACCCGAAAGCCGCCGTTCCACAATGGCCGCGGGACGAATGTTTAACGGCACGGAGGATTTTTACATTTACGTACGCACAACGCGGCGGTCGCAATTAGCCGGGGCTGCGCCGCGTCCACGCGGCGGCGGCGGCGAGCGCCCGTGCACCGAACGACGCCGGCAACGTCGACGATAAGGGGGGGGGGGGGTGTCCCCCTCCACCCCCTACAATGGGTAAGAACGGGAAGGGTCGCTGCCGAAAGAGAGGACGCGCGGGCGTGCCAACGCTAAGCGGCGCTCCGCCTGCTGGGTGCTGGGTGCAGCGGTGAATCGGGATTCGGTGGTGGGCGCCGCGCGCTGCTCCGTATTCATTTTGGTGGCAAATGTTTCCGGATGCATTTACGTCTCGCCATTCACAACCGTTTGTGGCGGAACGTGCTTAACACTCGTTGTGTTGTTCTGCCGAAAAAAAACATACGCGCGGGAAAGTTACTCTTAATGACTTGTTTTTTTTTTCGGATTGCACTTTTTATGACTGTTAGTAATTTGAATGTTCCTGTATTTATGCAGGAATTTAACCCACGCCGCTCGGATTTCAGGGAACCGTGCTGACCGCTACGCCATCGTTGGGCCCTCTTGAGATTTCACAACCAGAGAATTGATTCACGTACGATCAATACATACGTAAAAGGACATCATGCACAAAGATTCCCCATACAGCCTCTCCAGCCTATTTGGGCAGGTGCTGTTAGCGAGCACCTATAAAGACCGACAAACATACCAGCAACGCGCCCGGCTGCCTTTGTCTCCCCGCAATTCGGATGTTTGCACAACCGCACCAGGGATCCAGTGGAGACCCAGGACTGGCTCAGTAATATGCCACCGATATTGGCCACGAGCAGGAACTGAACCGGGCTCGCTGGGTATGTGGTGTAGCACCGTCAACCGCCACGCTACCGCCCACCGCGTAAGCAGGACACGCGAGGGTACGCGTAACGCACACGCGGCACGTAAAAAAACATACGAGCAAGATGTACGCGCATACAGACACACACGCGCGCACGCACGCACTCGACTGGAGGTGATGAAAGACCCCTTTTGGAGGAGGAAAGAACCGAAGATGAGAGCCCGGCGCTGGTGTCAAATGCCAGGCCAGGCATCGGAGGCATCCATACCAACAAAGGGAACGTCAATTTGACAACGATCGGCACAAGCAACATCGGATGATCAAAGCCGCCGCGCGAAGAGAAAAACGTACGGAGCGTGGCACCAATTAAACGCAAGGGCAATGTATTAAATTACGAAAAGGCAGCTTGTGCTGCTTGCATGAATGAATTTGTGGCGGGTAAACTTAGAAGAAGAAGAATAAAAAAGAGAAGAGCTGTGAATTAAATGTATTTACTCACATTGTTACCGTCTGTCGCGTATCGTTCATGCAGCACAAAGGGTACGCCTTCCATCGCTGGTGGGGATGTGGGGGGAAACACACGCACGCAGACACGCGCAGACACACACAGACACGCACAGACAAAAATCCCGGCTTAGATTTGCCAGGTCACAACACAGTTCTTCCATTAAAAAGCTTTTAACATTCCTCGACAAAAGGCGACGTACAACCTTTCGCTTCTCTGGAGTGTGTTTTTTTTCTTGGGAGCAAAACAAGGGCGGCCATCGACCGCACACTGCATCAGTCTCATTTCACGCAGTCACCGTCGCCCTCATCGTCGTCGCCCTCGTCGTCATCGTCGTCGTTAAGTGAGAGCAAACAAAACATCTGCGCGGCATTGCACCGATTTCTACTTCCATTGGCCCCGTTGCAGTAACTTTATTATTATTTTTATATTTGGTGGCGAGGGTGAGCACCAGAGTGGTGGTGAGTGAGGGTGAGCACCTAGCTGGGTAGTGGCGAGTGAGGGTGAGCACCTCGCTGGGTAGTGGTGAGTAGTGGTGGTGAGTGAGGGTGAGCACCTAGCTGGGTAGTGGTGAGTAGTGGTGGTGAGTGAGGGTGAGCACCTAGCTGGGTAGTGGTGAGTGAGGGTGAGCACCTAGCTGGGTAGTGGTGAGTAGTGGTGGTGAGTGAGGGTGAGCACCTAGCTGAGTAGTGGTGGTGAGTGAGGGTGAGCACCTAGCTGAGTAGTGGTGGTGAGTGAGGGTGAGCACCTAGCTGAGTAGTGGTGGTGAGTGAGGGTGAGCACCTAGCTGGGTAGTGGTGAGTAGTGGTGGTGAGTGAGGGTGGGCACCTCGCTGGGTAGTGGTGAGTGAGGGTGAACACCTAGCTGGGTAGTGGTGAGTAGTGGTGGTGAGTGAGGGTGAGCACCTAGCTGGGTAGTGGTGAGTGAGGGTGAGCACCTAGCTGAGTGGTGGTGAGTAGTGGTGGTGAGTGAGGGTGAGCACCTAGCTGGGTAGTGGTGGTGAGTGAGGGTGAGCACCTGGTAGAGTGGTGGTGAGGGTGAGCACCTAGCTGGGTGGTGAGTAGTGGTGATGAATGAGCACCTGTGCTGAGTGGTGGTGAGTGAGGGTGAGCACCTAGATGAGTGATGCTGAGTGGTGAGCACCTGTGCTGAGTGGTGGGTAAGCATTGCAATGGCTATTGCACTGCACGACCAAATCCGGCGAGCAGAGTTCGATTCCAGGCCACAGCTAAGGTCGGTGGGCCCGCGTGATATTTGAACCGGTGCTGAGTCTGTCTGCCCCCTTAACCAACCCGGATTGAATAGCGTGATGAAGCTATGATCCACACGGCACGGGCAGGCATTCGTCCTGCGGTGGATTGACAAAGGGCTGAAAATGTATTGTTATGTTGTTCATTGATAACAAAGAAGCCAAGGCATGTACAATACAAATGCTTTCTAAAGTCTCGTCAGCAAGTATTTCCGTAGTATAACCATCTCCATATATGTATAAAACATTCCACAAGGGTGGCCCAAAAGTCAGGACACATGAAGTTATTTTAACACTGGCATTAAAACTTTAAATTGTTTATTCTTTAAGTCGACATTTTATTATCTATTATCAATATTGATCTCTCTTTCTTCTTCCTTTTCAGATGACATTTACACAACTCGATCAAGAACCCTGAATGGAGACACAAACATAATTGATGAATGTTCAGAGATTACAGCTGTAATCTTAAAAGAAAGTCCTAAATTAATTTCAAAAGATAATTCATGCATGCATTCACGTTCATGCAAGTCACTTTGAAACATTTGTTATAATAAATGACAACCCTAAGAAAGACCCAAAGAATATAACCCTAAGTGATTTGTAAAAATAAATGTAATAACCCTATATGTCCTGACTTTTGTGCCACTTGGTATATTTAATATCACACATATCTAATGTGACACTGTCATGAGTTACAACGGTGAGGAAGAACACATCTAAACTGCGGGGCCCGTGAAAGTTACAGCCACGCCTGCCGTCCCCCCTCTCTCTACCCAAAGGAAAGTAATCGCCTCTACCATTGTCGCAAATGTTTATTTTTAATGCAGCCGATGGCTCGTGGCAATTCCTGCAATGCCCAGGAATTACCACGTCCCCGTCGCCGCTCCATCCGTCCACGAATATTTCTCACATTTTCACGAAAACTACAAAGCCCTTACATATCGATCGCTGCGAAACTGACGACAACAACTCGCCAATACCAATGCCACGACCCGTATCGATTTTGGGGCAAGAATAGCAGCTCAACACTTGAATGTGTGCCCCAGAATGCGTAAACCGATCACTCGTGGGGCACCGGGCAGGGCAGTCGAGTGAGTCGCTCAAAAGGGCAGCGGGCAGAGGAGCAATGTGAGCGGGGTAAAAAAGGAATGCTGGGATGGAAGTCCTCAAGGTACCGTGGGGGCGCCACAGTGGCGAGATGTTAACTACCTCGCCTGGTACACAGGAGGTTGTGGGTTCCATCCCGATTCTGGATGTCTGTATGCTTGGAGTTTGCGTGTTCTCCCTGTGGTCGTGTTCATTTTTCTCCGGGTCCTCCGATTTACCCCTCCAAATTTAGAAACACGCATGTATGCAGAACATCGTTCGCACTGTACATAGTCAACCGTGCGAATCGGAGGTGCGGGGGAAGGACAACAAACTAAACACAAAAAGCTGTTCTAAAGAAATGAGTTTCCAATCTATTTCCACATGGCAAACTCCATTGAGCTATCCTTTGTGGCCAGGTCGTTTCTGAAAAAAGAGGTCTATAGCTCAGTGGGCCTTACCTGGTAAAATAAACATTGTTTAGTTTAGTTTTAGACATTGAGGGTGGGGTTCAAGATGAGCAGCAGGAAGCACAAAGGAGTGCCGGGAAGGAACAGGAGAAGGAGAAGAAGGAACTCCCGGGCAAAGATGTCGGGGATAATGAGATGGTGGTGAAGATGATGATAATAGGAGAGGGAACAGAGAGAGAAGGGAGACGGAAGGAGCGAGCAGCAGTGAGAAGCACGGAGGAGCAACGTCTGTTTTCAGAGGGGGCGGCGGGGAGAGGGGAGGGATATAAAGTGGGGGTGGCCACATGGAAGTCACATGATCTACAGGAGGCGTGGGTGCGTCTGTGCGTTTCCGCGAGCGCGTTTATTCGCACTAATTCAATTGTGTGGATTTGCTTTTCCGGGCTCTTCTCAAGTTTCGTGACAGCGTGTGCAGGGGAGAGGCCTGGGGGGAACGAGTTCAACGGTGGCCAAGTTCACATTTCAAAACGTCACAGCGGGCAAACAAAAAACCCCAATGGTGGGCGTGCACAGTACTTGCCGGTGTAAACATTCAAGTACAGCTCAGAGTAATCATGCACTTTACACGAGCACGTTCTGCTTACGCGCACGCGATTAGTGACGAGGGATGCGCCCGACCAAAGCTCCCGGAACGCGCCCGATCCTTACGGCGGAGACCTCGGATGCTAAAGCAGAGACGGAGCACTGGGACGGCGATTGGATAGGAGACCACCGGGCGCAAAGCACCGGTGCGGTCGCCGCTGCCGGCAGTTGACTCGCGGTGCAAACCCCACCGTCCTTCCTGTGCTCCCGCATACCTTCAACTCATTTCCATAGAACCGCTTTCTTCGGTTTGGTTTTGATGCCCTTCCGCCGCACCTCCAATGAATACGCTTGGCTACGCACGGTGCGCGCGAAAGTTCAACACACGTCGTCCGGACGCGCACATACAAGCCGCGCCGACCGGCACGGTGAAGTACGGTCAAGGTGTGTGTGTGTGTGGGTCGGGAAGGGAACGCGTCCAAGCAGCGGAATAGCAAATGGGGCGTGCGCATTGTGCGTCGACGAGGATCGATAAGGGGGCAGGTTGTGGACGCGCGTGGCTCGACGAGGTGCGACGCGACCCGGAGCGTTGCGTGCGCGCGTATCGGGCGTCGATGTCACCGACCCCACGGTTACGACGACGCAGGCTAAGGGACACATTAACGTAATGATACTTCGATAATTAATTAAGGGCTCGCGCTACACAGCCGCGGGGCCCTGTTCCACCAACAGCGGAATAAGGAAGCAGAAAGGATGACATCATCTGCTGCTGCTGCTGCACAGCCCAAGAAGCCATTGATATGGGAAACAGATAATAATGAACGCTGTTGCACACAAGCACGCGGTGGTACATGCATGTAAACGTACAGAAAAACTCTGCAGGCAAAAGCACCACTAACAGAGGATATCCCGGCAAATCATGCGAGTATCGAGCATGCGTGTTGCACTAATTACCTGCAAACATACCAAATACGCAGACAGCAGGCCTCCTTCCTAAATCTATCCCTCCACATAAAGGAATACGAGCATTTTTCTTTAGACAACTCATCGGCAACACAACTTTCTGGGAGTTCATAATATCATCAGCTGCATATTTGGCAGTAATGATTCACTCCACTTAACCATTTCTTTCTAATTCCTTTTTGTGTTTAGTTTGTTGTCCTTCCCCCACACCTCAAATTCGCACGGTTGACTACATGGTTCAACATACCTACTTACATCTTTCATCGAATGCCCGTTTAAGGTTGATGATATGACCGAGTTGATAGGTTGTATGTATGTTGAACTACTTTTGCACCGTTCGTAGCCAACCGTGCTAATCGGAGGTGTGGGGGAAGGACAACAAACTGAACACAAAAAGCAGTTCTAAAGAAAAGTGCATATCCCCGGTCGGCTCCTTAATATCAGAAGGAAGAGCGTTCCAGATGGCCGGAGAAGTGCACCTGAAAGCGCGCGTTGCAGTGACCATCTTTGTTCGATGGTTCACGCATCAACTGCCGATTGTGTGTACACGCACACACACAATTAATATCAGTCCTCTACTCATCCAGCTCAGCCTTGATTTGACCACGTGATTATTGACACAAAAAATGAACCCAATGTACAAGGAGACAACACCTAAAATTGCACACAGGTAGGTCAGCAAACCTACCTGCTGCGCTGCCTTACACGGGAACCTACCCTCGCCCTTGCCCATGCAAGGACGTCACACCGCAATAAG